AAGGAAGGAAGGAAGGAAGGAAGGAAGGAAGGAAGGAAGGAAGGAAGGAAGGAAAGGAAAAAAGAGTTCATTCTAGGACAGACCATGGCTCAGTGGATTAGGCTGAGGATTTTTCAGTCCCTAGGAGGACATGCTTTGAGCAAACGCCACACACTCCCTGCCATGGTACAGTATTAGTTTGTCATAGCACAGAAGGCTGACTCACATGGTGAGAACACACTCAGCACTACTGCGGCCAGCAGTGGATGCACTCAAATCGGAAGGAAACAGAAAAGACAAGTACGGCCCCTGGGCAAGCATGACACGTGACTGTGTGAAGCCTTCCGTGTTTGTACAATGAAGACTGTGCCGAGACCCAGTGTGCTGAGCCCACCTGCCAATCGAAGAGAGCGCTGGCTAGTCAGAGATTTGGGTGTTTTTGAACTGGAGAAGATAAGGAAAGAAAGGGCTAAGGAGCCAGTTCTGAGTTGATTTGGTGATGAAGACAATAAATCCATGAGGTTATACTCACTTCAAACCCACAAAACATAAAGTTTGCCGTATTAACCATCTGGAGTATACAGCTCGGTAGACTATACTCATATTTTTGTCAGCTACCCCCAATAGCCATCTCTGTAGCCTCTCATCTTGTAAAAATGGAGACTCTATAACCATGGCCAATGCTTTACAGCCTACCCACCCTGTCTCACAGCCTAGGGATGGCATTGTGTCCATAGCACCGCCACCTCGAGCACTTGTGACTCTTTGAGGACCACCTTCTAGGTCCTCCAGCTTTCTCTGGTGTCTCTTTGTACTGTCTTCATGCCCTGCTATCTATCTGTCCCGACTAAACCCTGCACTGCCCCATGTGTGGGCAGCTCATGTAGGGTCACAACTTCCTCCTTATTGCCCGTAGTTTGCCATGTCTTTGGCTATATACTGAACTAGAGAAAACAGGCTCCCAGGCAGCTACCTCGAGGTCTCTCAAATGCTAGGCTTTTCAGAAGTTAGGCCTCAGGGCAGCTATTGTTAGGTGGGTTGACATACTACAGGCCAGACTCTGGGCTATGGTCATATACCTGGGACCCAGCTGCCCCACGGGTTTGGCTCCACCTACTCTAGGCCTCAGCCGGAATGGGATTTCTGGCTCCACTGGAAGGACCACATAGTTCTGGGGAGCCCAAGAAAGAGGATGAATGGAGGAGGCCCTTTCTCCTCCCTCCCACTTCCTCTCCATACTGCGAGCGAAGGCCAGCGCTCTGGGGACAGATGGGGGCTGACTATAATGCAGCTCCAGGGGAGGCATGAGTCACTGCTGCTTTCACCCCAGTGATGTTCCCAGTGCAGTGGAATCGCTTGGCACAGCTAGGCAATGGCTGCCCAGATCACTGAAGCAGGCCACCTTCCTACCAAGGACAGCAAGAAGAAAGACACAGAAGGCCCAAAGTCCAAGGCACAGCCGTAAGTGAACCTTGTGTATGTACTCTGCATTGCTGTCCACAGACTGCCATCAGAGCCCATTTGATATTTGGGACAATAAGACACAGAAAGGAAGTGACCAGGTCAAAGTCACTTGGTCACATAGATGTGCCCAGTGAGCATGGGGAAGGCACTTGGGAGACTCCATGCTGCCAGACATTGGCCTGTTCATACTGAAAATTGCTTTTGTGTCCTTTTGGCACCCCATCCCCACTCTACAGCACATAATCACTATGCCCCCAGCCCTACAGAAGCTAGAGAACTCTATTTCCACCTAACAACAGTGGTCCTCCACCTTCCTAATGCTGCAACCCTTTAATACAGTTCTGTATGTTGTGGTCACCCCCAGCCATAAATCTATTTCCTTTGCTACTTCATAACTGTAATTTTGCTACTGTTATGAATTGTAATGTCAATCTCTGTGTTTTCTGATAGTCTTAGGAGACCCCTATGAAAGGGTCGTTTGAACCCAAAGAGGTCCCAAACCACAGGTTGTGAACCACCGCTTTAAAAGCTAGTCAGTCCTGCACTGCTGTTCCAGGGCAGACGCCGATACCAAGCTGCACATGCGCCCTTACAGTGGGGCATGCGGACACACAGCTATCTGCAGAGCTGTGGTACTGATGTGAGCTTCCCCTGTAGTCACAGAGCACCTCCCCCACCTGCATCTTACTGCATACACATGTGTGCTGGCTAGTTTTGTGTCAACCCAATACAAGCTGGAGTCGCTTGGGAAGAGGAAGCTCACTTGAGAAATAAGTCCAGAAGATCTGCCTGTAGGCAAGTCTGTCGGTCAGCTGCTTGATTGATGGTTGATGTGAGAGGGTACAGCCCTTTGTGGGTCATGCCTCCCCTTGGCTGGTGGTCCTAGGTGCTATAAGGAAGCATGCCGAGCAAGTCACAGAGAACAAGCCCGTAAGCAGCATGATTTCTGCTTCAGCTCCTGTCTTTAGCTCCTGCCCTGACTTTCTTCAATGGTAGACTGTGATAAGAATGTGTAAGCAAAATAATAAAACATCCTTTGTTTCTCAGCTTCTTTGGCTCATGGTTTCTACCACAGCAATTAAAAACCCCTAACTAAGACAACACAGTGCGCAGGGTGCAGGGGCCCTCCCAGGCCTACCTGTAGGCTCTCTGGTTTGTAGCTGAGGACGGGTTGTCTGTCTGCCAACCTGTCCCTGCTTTGCCATAGCAGCTGTCCACGAGAAGCCTACAACAGGAGCCAGCAAACCAGGTCCCTTGTGAGCCACTGTCCTTCCCTGTACCACGTGACCCTCGAGCATTCTCCTGGCTGTGTTTCAGCTTCCGCCTTGCCAAGACCTTTCCCCCTCTTGGCATTATGGGAGCAACTGAACTGTGAGCTCTGAGAAGCTCACCCTGGGAAGCAGGTGCCATTATCTCTCGCTATTGGCAGAACGGAGCAGGTGGGGGAGGGGAAGCCCTGGCCTAATTAAGGTCCAACAGCCCTGAGCCGTAGACCGTGTGTCCTGAAGCCTAGGCCTTTCTCCAGCTAACCATGCAAAGCTCTGTTCTCCTTTCTCTCCATGTCCTGTCTTTCCTGAGGCCGGCAGAGATACCACGAAAGGACATGGTCAAGTCTATGATGGGCAGAGGAAAAATAAGCCAGACACAGGGGCCCATGCTGAAGCTGAGCAGGAAGAGAAAACAAATCAGATGTCTTCTTACACCTCCTCATTGCTCCTTTCTATAACCCCATCTCTAGAGCATGCATAAGACTTACAAGCTAAGGCTAGGTACTGTAGAGACTGTTCCCTTAGGCCGAAGGACCTCAGTGTGCCTTTTAAAGCAGGATGCTGGTGAGCACCACACAGATTATATAGATCATCGTTTATATAAGGCTGGTGGTGAGCCAGGTGGTACTGGCCTTAGACATCAAGATTTTCTGTATCTAAAGCTGCATGCCAATAATCTTGAGTCCAAGGAAAGGCAACTATCATTCTGAAATGCATTAGCTGTAACGCCTCAGGGGGAGGACTATGAATGCTATCCAGATTTTCTTTGCCTCCCAAAACAATCACTATGCTTTGTTTTGAGGCAAGTTATTGTGCAACCTGGGTTGACCTCAAACTCACCATGCAATGGAGGATGGATTTGAACTTCAGGTCCTTCTGTATCTGCTTACCAAGTGCCAGGATTACCACATGAGCGGTTCATGACTCTTGCTGGCTGAACCCAGAGCTATGTGATGACTCAGCAAGCACTCTACCAACCGAGCCACATCTCAAGTCCCTTCAAAACTCAGTGATTGAATTCATTGCGAGTAATACTTCCCCAGGACATCACTGGCTGCAGACTGCGGCCACCTGCTCTTCATCTTTATAATTCAACATGTTCATACGCAAAGAAGAATGGCTTTGCACTCAGAGTCACCCAGTCAAACACCAGCTCTACTGTGTCTGAATAATTTAACTTGGGGCAAGTCCTATAACTTCTCTGAGCCACCATTTCTTTGTACAACAGTGTAGAGAATATTCCCATCTCTTCTTTAAGTCAAAGGCAGTAGTTAGCCTCCACCTGGCTGTTGAATGGACCTTTCTTGGAGGGACACACATAAGTACCTGCTTCCTTTACGTCAGTGACAGACCAAACTCTGATTCCACTGTAGTCCAAAATGTTAAGTCAAAGAGTTGATGGGGCTTATTTACAAGACATGGGTTAGGGGTTGTTTATAAGAGTGTAGGTGACCCCAAAGCAGTCACAGCCCTGGAAAGCCTCACCACAGCACGGACAGTGACTTTCCCACAGATGCATAGGTGAAATGCCCCTTTCATTGACCTTCCAAACTCTTTGTTTGACAGGACCTCCTGAGATCTCAAGACCACACACAGCTTGGACAGAATTATGTGTAGCTGGGAGGGAAGTATAGGAAGGAGTGGCTGGGATCCCTTTTGTCTATGAGGAATGTCAACAGGCAAAATCTTGAGGGTCTCTCACACATGGTCACAGATGCTCTGTTGAGGATGGTGATGGCTACAGTGTTTGGAGAACAGTGTTCTACAACACTGAACAAGTGTTATAAAGGTGTTCTGAAGAAGACATCTGTATAGGTTACCTGTTGACATTCAATAGTTATCTGATGCCCCCACTCCACCTCCCATTACCAAGGGCTCATGTCGGCTGTAAATTCAACCTCGGTCCTCCTAACACCATGGGACAAACCTTGCCTCTGAGAATCAGTAGCGGAACCTTGGCTAGATACTGGGAGATGGAATTGTAGTTCCTGGGTCCTTGGAAGTTTTGTTTTGTTTTGTTTGCTATTTAGGAAGTGCCCTCTATCAAAGAATGGGAAACCCATAAAACAGAGTGAGGCTGGAGGCAGAGCAGCAGCCTGGATGTCTTGGGCCCTGGTAGCAAGACTCTGCAATGGACCTGCAGCTGTTCGGCAGAAAGCATAAAGGGGCTCATCCACCTAGAGCAAACCAGGATGGATGATTGGTGGCTGGCAAACTGGTGGAGCAGGGGTGGGGTGGGGGGACTGATGGAGCAGGAGAGCTGCTTCAAAGACTTCCAGCTGCAGAAAATGCAAAGAGGGATAGATAGAGGTGGAGCAAGAGAAGGCTGAGCTGGGACCCCTTACATGATGGAGAGGGCATGAGCGTTAGCTTAGACATCTCAGTGTAGGACTGGCTGTACAAGCAAGGTGGCCCGGGAGCAGGTAAGGGGCAGGCAAGAGAATAGATCTTGTCTACTCTTGGGGAGAGCAAGGCTTCATGTCAGCAAGTATTTCATGGCAGGTTTGCCTGAAATCTGCAGCACAGAGTAAGGTAGTTGAGGGAGGCCAGAAGAGGAAGGGCTCCACCTATTCCCTTTCCTTGGCATTCTCAGAAAACAGGGCATGGGGAAAGGGAAAAGCA